GAGAGAGTTTCCCTGGTCTCTAGAGAGGGCCGTCGAATACTATTCGCAGCGGTCTTTTTTGCTAGTTTCCATAGTATACCGCCGGAATGAGCATATAGTACGTCCCCACAGCGTCTTTTTCGGAGAAGGAGAATGTTTCTATCATTCCTTCCTTGATGGTATTTGTGAAGTATTTTGCAGTACCACGAGCGTTGCTCTGGGTGTTGCAAAAGCGAGTTTTGAAGCGATTCCAGTCTTCGGATCGCTATGGAAACTAGCTGTCTTCCAAATTCAGGTAATAGTTTTTCATTTTAGTGGGAAATGGGCCTTGGACCATTGTCCGAAGGAGATTTCTTCCGAGTATTGTTAGATATCTGGGATTTTTTCGTCTGGCTGATATTCTTCGCTTGAAATTCCAAGCCCTTCTAATTCAAACATTTTTTGGATAAATTCTTTTTCATTCGAAGACTGCCGTCAGTCCATAACATACGCCACTTCTGTGTTTTCTGGAGGAATAATTCCTTTGCTTCAAAGATGGTATTCGATATATGTAGTCTCGTAGGAGTTCTTATACCATGGTTCGGACTCGTTACCAGATCGTGAAAATAGTCTAGTCCAACGAAGACGTGCGGAATTTGATGTTCTCCGCGAATTTTTGAGTTAGCGAGGCATATTTTGTTTGCTTTTAAGAATGTTATATCTGATGGAGCCAGCCTAACGCTAGGGAATCCGTTGGTTAGAACTGGCTTGGTTTGGAACTGAGTTCCACTTCTTCACCGAAAGCCGTTCCAATTTTGACCTGTACAGTGTGGCTTTCGAATTTTTCGATATGGCCACAATGCCGGATATTGTACATATTTTTGTTGTTTGCTTCGGAATTCCTAGAGTTGTGGCCAGTCAGTTGTGGCTCTACTCGTTCTTTCTGTGATTCCAGATGTTACCCTCAGCTGCCATTAAAATCAGTTGGGAAAGAGGCGGATTTATCGCTTTGCTTGTTTTCTACCCATGTTTGGGTGTTCTTCGCAATAAATCTCCTGCCCTCGTTACGGTTCTCAGTATTTTTTTGACCAGTTGATCTCTGATGGTTTTGTCCTCTCTGACTAGGTCTTTGTGGCGGATTCCACGGTCTGTTTGAATTTCTAAATTACTCATTTGCGTCATGCAGAGGGACCATTCCTTACACGGTCATGGTGCCGACGCGTCAGGCCCTGAGTTACGTCCCGTTACACTCATATTGTTCACACCATTGTTTTGGACGCATAAGTGCAATATGGACTGCGGTGCTTTTGACCGCAGTCCATATTGCACCTTATGCCGTCCAAAACAATGGTGTGTGAACAATATGAGGCTCATGGGCCCACACTCGTTACAATTACTCCTTATTCCAGTTTCCCGGTGATTCTTCCTCGCGGATCACCCCAAAGTTGTCTCTAAGACTGCTGTAATTAAGAGCACCACTACATTCAACAGAAACTTTTCTCAGCTCAGTACACTCCCTCTTGTCTTGTCCCACCAAACCTCGCTCTGCGTGACCATTCCCTTCTGGCTCTAGATTGAAGCCGGCCGCAAGGATAGTACTGGATGCCGATCTTCGGTGCCATGATCTAGGAGAGCCTAATAACATTATGCTTGCACATTCCAAATCCAATTCCCATCAAATTGTTTGATAAGTTAAGCAATTTATCCATCTTGTTCTTAAGTTTTGCACACCAGTGGATTTTCATCTATCGGCATCACTTTCGATCAGGGTAAAAATCGTGTTGAGGACGTGGTCACATTAGTACGACCCCTCCCCTCAGATCGATACGACCTCTGATTTGATTCGATGCGGACAAGCAGGTTCCATCGATGTACAACAAAGCATCCAGCTGCAGCGCCTTTGCCCGTGAGTCAGATTTGCTGAAACCTCGCCGCGAAACGATCGAAATCCACGCTCTTGATGAAAAGGTTTTCCATTCCCCCATTTCGCAACCTTTGAAGCAGTACGTGGTAGATAGAGATAGATTTGCTATTACCAGGCAGTATTGAAATTCATCTAAAACCTTTACACCCGAAGAGATAAGGTCTCCTAAATTTTGTCGACTCAGCGTGAGAACGCTGAAATTTTCATGCGAGTTTTTGGCACTCAAAAGGCAATATCTCTTTGATTTTCGTAAGATCTTGAGGAGAATGAAAATGAAGGTTTGCTCTGGCCTAAAAGGTTTGCTAAGCTTATTTCCAAACATCTCATTTGAGGATGGATCTCGGCCACCTAAACAGCCGCTCCCTTCTTCACCCATTGCAAGTTAATTCGTTGGCGACTCTCGAAATGTTTTTAGAATAAATTCTTTCGACATAAGCAATAGGAAAGGGAACAATTGTCATCGTCTAATCTCGTCTCAGTATAGGCCATGCTTTCGACTAACTCAAGCTGTAGGATCTATTGAAGGGTGTTATACATATAATGATGACCTAATGACAGAAAGTGTATTGTAATAAACAAATTTTGGAAATCCTGCAAACTGAGAAACAGCATAATTTCCCCAGGGCCTTTCCAGAACTATTGCCGTGTCTGCGACAGCGTCTCTAGCAATGGCGTCATTCTCAACGATGATATTGAGGGCAGGGAGTGAGCGGTAGATAGAGGAAATGCATAGGCAACGGGTGTACACATGTGACTCTACTCCTTGCAAAAGAAGGGCACCTTCAGTCTTAAAGGAATCTTCCACGGACCATGGACCAGTGGGCGGGACCGGAAGTTTTTGTGACGAAATGCATGGTAGGTACGGATCCACGTGTCGAACGCACGAACGTGAACAGGATTCACTTCAAACCTTCCCATGAACGTGGATCCGTACCTACCATGCATTTCGTCGCAAAACCACTTCCGGTCCCGCCCACTGGTCCATGGTCCGTGGAAGATTCCTTTAAAATACTTCCTTCTCGAAGGTAGAGGGACGAGCGACTGAACCTGCAAAGAATATTTTATATCATGTTTTCTCATGTATCATTGTTTTCTGCTGCGCTACACCCTCTCCCTCCTATCTGCACCACGATGCCACTGACGTTACTGACCCCTCCTGAGTACGACCCCCAATGACCCACCCTGACAAATACGACCCCCCTCTGTCGAAGATTTCCTCGACCGATATTCACCCTGCTTTCGAAAACTATAGACATTGTACGAAGTTCCATGCGCGTCAGCATCTGTTAAGAGATAAGAGAATGGAAATCATACTTTGTGATCTAGACGGATCCAAGTGAGAGCCCAAGGGTAGCATGGAACGATGTGGTGGGACGATCACGTTGTAACTCGTACAGTGCGTTTCAAAAGTATGTGCACACCCTCAAAATTCACGTTTGAAAGGGAACCCATGAGGTTTCGTGCTATGAAATCCTTCTCAATCGATTTCTCGTAGTCGATAACCTATCAATGGAAGCAAAGCAGATAATATCGCCTCACTTTCGGAAAAAAATTTTTGGATGAAATTTTTTTCTTTGTTTCAAAAGTATGTGCACACTTGAAGAAGATCAGATTTTGGCGCCGAATTTTCCACCGATTTCAATCCGACTTTGCTGTTTTCATTTCGTCATCATGTCAATTCGCGCCATACTTCTTCCTGAAGATGAGCAAGCTCAGATCAAGGTTCTGCATGATAATGAACGTTCCAATCTAGAAATCGCACGATAACTTGGTCGTTCTCCTTAATGCATTCGAAGATTTATCTGGCACCCTGATAATTATACTCAGCACACACTCCGCTCCATCCACGATCCTTGACTGCTCAGAACAACAAAAGAGTAGCCCACATCCTGTCGGATTCTTCATTGACAGTCCGAGCTCAGATTTTTATTCCAGCCTCGAAAATGACCACTAAGCCCCTCATCCGCTCAAATGAATACACCACTCGACAGACGCTGAGAAAGGCTACTCACTTCAAGGCCCAGCACAAGTTAGCCACATTGGAGTCTGCTCGTACAGACATGGCAACATAGGATAGGACACCGGGCGAAGACACGGTTTTTCGAGAATTTCCTATTTTCAAAACAAGCAACTTTTTATGGACTTTCTCTCCTCAGGTAATCTTAGCTCGTGGAAAGAGTTTGATCATGACGGGCCGGAAAGATTTTGTCACTGCTGAAGAGGTATGGCGATGAACCGGTCGTGTTCTCGAGATGGAATTTCGGAGGACGCGCATTGATGGGTCTGGGGCGGTTTCGCAAGGAGCTGGAAGTTGGAGGTTGCCGCTCCATTATTGCGTATGAACTGTAAAGAATACCAAGCAGTGCTCCAATGTCACCTGTTGCCCTTCCTTAGCGAAGCGGAGCGAAAATTGCATTTTTAGCAACAGGACCACGTGTCTTTCGATGCTTCGCAATCTACCAAAGAATGGCCTTAACCAAATGGTGCTGAAGCGATAGATTGGCTTGTGTGTCCTCCTTACTGCAACCCTATAGGGAGCCCTTGATCAAGGCGTTAACTTTAGCAACCGGCAGTATAATACCGCGGATGAACTGAAGGCGGCGGTAGAGGCTATTTGGGCCGACAGCGACGAAACAGCTATGCCAAACGTGGTTCAGATTATGCCGGACAGGATGTTTGAGCTAATTAGATCTGTATTTATTATTAATTCCTCAACCTTTATTTTTTCACTCACAGACAATTGCTGTTTAGGGGAAGGATCGCGATATCGTAAAAAAGCTGAAGAAGGAGCTGCGAGAAGAGAAGAATCTCAAAAAGGTGAAAATGTGGTGAATGAGCAGCACATTTAGCTTGCTCAACTCACAAAATTGCTAGATGCCGAAAATCTCCAAAACAAAAGAGTGTCACAGACTGTTTGAAGATTTAACATTTTTGAAAAAGAGTGACTGACATGGGTGGGTTCCTATGGGGAAGTCACTCCAGTCTCGTCGCTGCAGATGTGTTGGGTCTTGCCGTAAGCAAAGCGCTCATTGCGGTGCACTCAAAGATTGCGGATAAAAATGGGTAGCGCTTGCATCCGCTCGCTAGCGGTCTCGATGAGGTTCTCTCCCGGTTTTCTATGCAAACTGAACTACTCGCCTGCTCTGCTGAGGATGTTCTGCAAAAAGTGGTAGGAGAAACATCACATATGATCATCAGAAAACAGCCGAAGAAATAGGGCTCGAAGATTTGACCGTCCGCCGACCCCTTCAATCACTCAAAAACAAACAGGTTGGGTTAGTAGCGTCGCAACAATTTTCCTAGACTTTTTTTGGTCATGTCAAAGCCTCGCAAAAATCGACTTCGAATCCACACGTTATACATAATTGACGAACATTGCAGTATCCCATTTCCCTTACTCCCCAGCCTACCATTAGATTATTTGAAGGTACTGTCGCGCGAATCTGACATTGCGGCGTGTCAAACCTCATAGGCTTTCTGGGTCAACGTCGAAACCCTTAGCATCAATAGAATGTAAAAACAGAGCGAACGAACAGAACGCATAACAGAATAACCAATTATAAACGCTTTCTGGGCTCGTATGAGCAGCCTTGAAAAAATGCAAAAGTTTGCTACCGACAAGGATTCGAACATATGACCTCACCCCTATGAAGCAAGAGCGCTATCCACTAGACCACCCACGGCATAGGTGCTCTGCGGCTCTTCTTATGCGAGCCGAGTGGGACAGGGAATGTAGAGGGCGCCACAGTGAGATAGCCACAGTGAGAAGAATCCCTCGTAACTTCGTTCAGAGAATCGTTCGGCAAAAACCGAAAACGGATTTGAGCTCAGCGTCGCAAGACGCGTGCAGCGGACTACACCTCATTACAAATGGCCGGACCGACCAATTGACCATTCCTTGTTAGATCACCGTAAGTAAGGCCGTTGAATGAAAAGTTCTATAAAAGGAATGAGAAAAATCTCCATTAGAAAAGCGTGATATTATGAACTGTGACACTTATCATACTCAACGTAATTTGTTAATGGTTTTATTGAATGACATGATAGAATAATAGTAATTGTTTAAGGGCGGAAGTGGTGTAGTGGCAAGTGGCACGCTTACCACGCGAGCGGTCCGGGGATCAAATCCTGGGTCGTGAGTCGCCCGGGCCAACCAAGCCTTCCATCCCTCCGGGGTCGGTTAATTGGTACCAGACTTGTCTGGGAGGATAAAAACACTGACTTGTACATCGGCTGGCCCCCGCAAGTCATTGTATAGGCCACATCGCATTCAAACGCCACTACGAATGTACAAATGGAAGTAGAATGCGTGCCGCATCCCAAAAAGGGATTGATCAACGGCAAATGCTTTATCCTTTATCCTTTAATTGTGTTAATGGGGGCAACAATTTTGCAAAGATCAAGACGATATATGCCATGAACCTTTAGACTAGCTAGTGTGTTCGTGTGATTAGTAGATAAATTATTGCTGAGCTACCAGTCCGCAACTGCAACGTCTCAACCCCAATGGAAGTGGAGTGTCCCAACAAGTGTGGAATCATAGTGTGCTATTCAAAAGCAATCTGGTTCGCATACTCGAGCTTTCTTGTAGGCATTAAAAGAAACCCCACAAGAATACATGGCTAATATAATTCTATACATTGACACACTCGAGTATGCGTCGATTCCCGATTATGATCATATTGCAGCACAACTTGAAGCTTCCATGGAGGTGAGCGAAGACCATTTACACTTGTGAGATGTACTTGTACTTAATCTGATGAGGATTCAAATTCCAGGCTTACAATCTCAGCTATGCTGATCCACCTGATTGGGACCTGATGGTCGCTTATTTGGGGCCACGATATGAGAAAAATCCGCCATATATTCTAAAATGTAACTTTTCCTCCGAATTCTATAGCACACAAATAAAATGGAAATGATATATTCACTTCAATAATTCCAGAATCGGTGCTCTCCGAGAAGTTGAATCGGATAACTATTCCGAGATTTTTAATAATGTCCAACAGAATGAATATTCTCTGAATTAATAAATCTGATAAGCTTTTTTTTTCAAGCATCTCATGCTGTTCCAATTAAAAAAGAACCACGAGAAATGAAGGAAATACGAAGTGAACAAGTACACGCCTTCACTCTTTAGTTTCTGTAAAGGTTCTTTATTAATACAACACTGCCCTTTCTTCAGCCGTGCTGCTTCTGCTCCATTAAACCAACTGACCCAGCAGGGTGGACGTGGTCGGAAACGGCTGCAATCCCCTCGGCCGATTCCCACTTCGGAGCTGTTCAGCCCCTAGTCAAGAACGTAGGAAGTGTGAC